TGATTAGTTCTGTTTTTTTCCTTCAAATAAGCAATAGCTGAAAAAAATGAAAAGGGGATGTTGAGACCAGATACCATGTAATAGATGGGTCCGCTCTGACATACAGTATGGTATGATGCCGAAAACATAATGCTGGCCCATTATTTGTGACACTGAGTGGCAAAGGAGAGCAGAGAGAAAGACGAAGGGATTTTTCAGGATACTGAATGGAACCACCCCTTGATTTTGAACAAATCATCATCTGTTTAACTCTACTTCTAAAGTTTTGTTATGGGGTCGCAATTTTTCTGCAATCAACTCTTTCTTTTTTTTTTTTTCCTTTTGGCTTCAACTGGTAATAATTTTTTTTTTTGACTCAAAATTTCTTATGCTAAAATCAGACATAATTCATTCAAATATAATTTTGGTGCTGGCTAACGAGAAGGCATATATTATGAGAATTCCATTACACGTAACGGGATGCAACTGGAATTGTTAACTCACTAAGCCATCACTTCCCTTCTGTCCTTCCTCCTAAACCAGGATGGCTTCTCAAAGTGACATGCCTCAATTCATAGAAAGGCCAATCAAGAAAACTAAAAGTTATCATTCTTAAAAGAGTAAAAGTTTCATTTTTCTACAAACCACTATTTTAACGAAAACTTCTTCCTTTTCCTCAGGCAAAACTTTATCTACGGTGGATTTGGCTAGTTAAATAAAAATACCTGTTAAAGGGAAGAAGGTTCCCATCAAAGCTGTTGAAATCTGATTTCATTTCAGATTCTAGACTAATGTTGTTTTTTGTTTAAATAGATTTGGTCTGTCAATTTCCAGACCTGCTGTGCCATCAGCCTGTATGGACTGCTGTGGTCAACACAGGGGTTGTAGCTGCAAATTTTATTACGGACTGGTAATTGAATTGAACAGGTTTACATTTGAATAGATTTACTACATCATGATCTCTGACATACTGCATGGGACTGAAATCCTTCTCCATCCATAAAGATACATTTAAAACAGTGTCGTTCTCAACAGGCTTGAGAGCAAGTCTTTTTATTTTATTTTTATTTTTTTTTTGAGAGGTTTTTGCTATAGAACACCTGCACTTGCCAGGAAGACAGACAGAGACAGAGAGACAGAAAGTGAGAAATCACCCCCCGAGGGGGGGATGACCATGCCACAATCCCTTCTCCTCCATTCTCCTCTCAGGGTCTTGGGCATGCACGCACACGTGCCCGGCGTGAGTTTAAGCCACCGGGATCTGGGACTTGAACTGTGGTCGACCACATGGGAGTCCAGCGACATAGCTATTATGCCTACTGCAGGTCCTGAGAGCAAATCTTGAACCAGGGAGATGGTTGCACCAAATTGTGCATTTATATGTAGGGTATAATACAATGTTTCACTGCATTTTTTTCAAGTACAAAAACAAGAAGATGCTATATTTACTCGTAACTATCCTGTATTGTTTACTTGGTAAGGGAAGGAGCTTAGAGAACTGCTATTTTGTCATCTAAGGAAGCTGAGGAAAATAAATTATTATTTGAATACATCAGTAATTTCCTTGAAAACAGATCCTCTAAAGGCTTGATAGCAGCAACTGAAGAGATGTGAATTACAGAGAAGCTTGGGCCCTTTGCTTTAACCAATAATGTTTAATTAAACACAGTTTATGCCTCTTCCTTCACTCTTACCACCCTTCAGAACTGCTTCTCCTCAAAACCACAAGAGGAGAACAGTATTTAGGGGAAAAACTCTTCTCTTCTTTCTCTTTAAATCTGATAGGACAAACAGTTGAGTGAATTATAGTAGTAAAATGAAGTTAAAAAAAATCTATTTTCCTGGAAATAGTGGTATGTCTCCATGTATTTCAGAGGTATTTTTTTGTTTGTCTTTATATAAACTGCAAAACTAGGCCACATTGATACAAATGTTACATTAATTTCAGTTTTAAAATAATTGATTTGTTTTGGGAAAATAATGATTTCTCAACTTTTCAGAGTTGAAAAGTCTTTTTGAGGGAGCATAAATTTAGTTTGAGTCTCTCCAGTCCATCTAAGTGGCAATATAAATAAAATTAAAACCAAAAATGCACTGTTCGCCGTTTTTCGTTACATTCTGAAATATGGTTTGCCTCTCTCCTATAAGGTTTATGACAAAGGCTAAGATACAGGTTTTCGCTATAAAAAAGTTGGCTATTACAATTATTTTTTTTAAAAAAGAAACAGAGAAAGAAAGAAAGTGAGAAAGCGTTCCCTCATGGGAGATAGTCAGACCTCAATCCCTTTTTCTCCATGTTTCCCTCCTTGGGGGATTTTTGAGCCCATACACACATGGGCCTGGGTGTGTTTTTCAAGCATCCAGTCTGGGACTTGAAATCTACAGTTGGTTATGTGGGATCTAGCCACCTTAACCACTATGTGACAGGCTGGCCCTCACCGTAACTAAAAGGGAAACTCTTTGTCATGAGTGTTGGGTTGCTGTTGCTGGGTTTTATAAATAAATTTTCCTTATGCAAAATCAGTCTTTTGGCAATTTCATCTGTTTTTTTCTTTAAGAACAACCATAATTGTCTTTTTCACTGCTGCATCACTGAAGCCTGGAATAGTACCAGACACATAAGAGGACCTTAACAAACACTTAGCAAATGGATTATAAATGTAAACCATGTTAACTGTGACCAACGCTATGCAGGAGAAGGTCGCCCCCTTCCTCATTTTTGTTCACCAGCGTAACACCAACCTTTATGTATCCTCCTTTCTGCTTCTCTCAATATATACCGTCAAAACTGGTATCTAATTTCTACCTATCTTTTTCCTCTTTGTGTGTGTGTACATAAAACTACTAAATGATGTGTTTGTGTGTTTTTATACTTGTCAGTGCATCTTGTTTAACTTTTCATAAGGCTTTTTATTTTTTGTTTTTGTACAGAGATGCATTCCCTAACCAGAGACAGACAGACCGAGGGAGAGGGAGAAAGCAACCCATGCTAGAATCCCTTCTCCTCCACCTCTCCTTGTCAGGATTTGGGGCATGCATGGATATATGTCTGAATGTTTTCCATGTCATCAGGGTTAAGGTTCAAACTGTAAAGCTGACCATGTGGGATCTGGTTCCTTTAACCAGTAGGTCACAGGGTCCCCATTCATAAGGCTTTAATTATAAAGTTTTACATTTATTTATTTATAGCTCTTTTTCAATGGAAGAGCAAAGTTGAAGACTAGAATAAGAATTTGTGAGGGTCTTCTTTGTTCCAAAGAAAGTATGAATTCCTTGTACTTGATCCACAAATATAACTTGATCCACAATCTTCCTAAAACATTGCTGACAGTAAAAATCTTGGAGTAAGAACAACCTAGCAGGCTGATTCCATAGTGCAGTGGTAATAACCTACTCAAGAAAGCCAGATCCCACATGGCAGCTGCAGTTCCACTCTCTGGCCTGAACTGCCTAAACCATGCCAGGCATGCAAATGACAGCCCAAGATCCAAAGGAATGCAAGACCAGAGGAAGGGCATTGTGGAGTACCCAAGACCCTGTGGTGAGTTTTCTTCTGTCTCTGTTTCTACCTTCTCTCACGTGCACACACACATGCTCCATTATGAATAAAGGAAAAACTGAAATTAAAATTAAAATAGATTGAGTTCTATTTGGGTTTAGATATTTAAAAATAGGGGACCTTCAGGAAATATACACACTATTGCAGTAAACCCCAGGAAGAAAGCATATTTCTATGATGCGACAGAAACTATGCACTTAAATATCTAATTAGCCTAATGTTTTTATAAATTTTGATTATACATTTTCATTTCTTGATAAAATTGTAATTTTTTTTGGGGGGGAGAGGTTTTTTTTTTTTTTTTTTTTTCCCTTTTTGGGCAC